AGGCAGGCCCTCTTGACTTGGGCCACGCTGAGGGAGCACGGCCTTTGTCTCCGGTGGGTGCAGAGTGCGGGAACGCCTCGTGCCCGCCTGGGGCGCACGGAGACACCTTGGCGGCCTGCTGCTGGGGTCTCCTGGCGGGGGTTCCCCTCTGTCCATCCTGCACAGCCTGGCTTTCGAGGCTGTGTAGGATGAGGACACGGCAAGGGGGGAGGGTGAAGGCACACCGTGACACACATTGTAGGGCGAACAGCGTCCTACTGTCCTCATAAACAGGAGTTCAGCTCCGGTGCTGTTTACCTAGTGCCTTCAACAGAGCTCCCCCTAGAGGGTCTGAAAGAAAAACAATATATTCCCAGCAACCATTTGGTGGAGCATAATCATTGTATTACTGCTATGTAACAACACAATGATCATGCTCTGCTACCTCCGGCACCCAGGATGCTGTGTATCCTCAGAATGAAACTTGGGAAGAGTGTAGCACTACTCCCTTAGGACTCACCAGAGATTTGGGTCCCACTATAGTCCTGCACAGCGAGGCAACAGGCATTTCCTTCAGACCTTGCACACAGGAGACAGTAAACAGTCCTTGAGCTTGTTTTTTGGGGGGGTTTATTGGATTATTAAGAGGTATTGAACTTGGATGTGGCAGAGGGGTGTATGGGATGCCCAGGGTAACTGTAAGCTGAGGACACACTCCTTAACAACTGTACAAGTCCATTAGACAATAATCCTCTTCTTGGAGAGCTATCCAGCCTCTCCTGGTGTACCTGCTCCGACCCCAGATGAAATCTCATCTTCACCCAGCTGCCTGAGAGAATGCTTGGGCAAGGGGGCCCAGAATCTACCACTTTAGAATCAGCAGTCCCAGATGGGGGCTAGTCAGGTTTCCCACCAGAATGCCCTTTCCCCTTATCTGGCCCATGGTGTGTGGGATAACTCACTCAGTCTTCTCCTGCAAGCTTGTGGGTTGGTGGCTGCCTTCAGGCCTTATGCTGGGCTGGCTCCTTCTCTGCTTCCCAGGCTGTCCTCTCTCTGGGGATGATTGAGGATGAGAGATGCTCCATTTAAGCTCCTCTACCTGTAGGCAGGCCCCTCTCCTAGATCCCCTCCCAGGATCCTCACCCCATCTTCCACTAGAGCTCTCCTGCTACTGAGCAGGCTCAGTCACTCTTAACCACTTCCCGACCGGCTGTTGTATATAAACGGCCGGACGGTGGCACAACAGGGTCGGGTGGCCGTCTATAAACGGCCTCCCCGCACCCTGCTTGTGCGCGCTCCCTGGGAGCGCGCAGCACCGCGATCCGGTGCCCGCTGTGTCCTCCGGACACAGTGAAACACCGATCGTCGGACAGGACCTCTGTACGAGGTCCCGATCATGTGATCACTGATTGGCCAATCAGTGATTACATGCAAAGTAGTAAGCAAGATGTCACTTCTGACATCATTGCTTACTATGTGTGAAATCTGTGAATGATCACAGAGGTCACATGGTACAAGGCTATTCACAAAAGCCTTGTACCATGTGACAAGCTGTGACCAATCACAGCTCACTCTGTATTTCTCAATGAGTGCAGGAATGCACACAGAGAGAAAGAGAAATGATTGCTTTTACATCCTATATGGGTGTAAAAGCAATCAGTGTAAAAAAAAAAAAAAAAAAATCTTTATCACCCCTCACAAGTAGTACAGTGTCACCATGGTGACACTGTACTGCTAGGGTGACAGTATGTAAAAAAAAAATAAAAATAAAAAATAATAATATAAAAAAATAAAATAAAAATGTAAAAAAAAATGTTTAAAAATTATAATTTTTGCTTATGAACTAATTTGGATTTTTTTTTTTTTTACTAAAAAGATAACGGAATAAATTTTGGCTAAGATGTATGATGAAATATTATTTATTTGCAAAATTTTATAAAAAAAACTTTTTTAAAAATTTTTTGGACATTTCATTTTCATAGCAAAAAAAATACAAATCCCAGTGGTGAATAAATACCACCAAAATAAAGCTTTATCTATCTAAAAAAAATGGTAAAAAATTCATTTGGGTACAGTGTTGCATGACCGCGCAATTGTCATTCAAAGTGTGATAGCGCTAAAAGCTGAAAATTGCCCTGGTCAGGAAGGGGGTAAAAGTGTCCGGTCTGGAAGTGGTTAAGGGCTGTCCTGACCCCATGCCAAGCCTCCTGCTTGGGGATTGGCCAGGATCCCTTAACATTACAGACCAGCTCCTCCTCACCCCTGCCCACTGAGTTCTAGAGACTTCTTCAAGTATCTACAGCAGGGGGAGGTATCAGTGAGCTGATCTGAGGAGCCTCTCAGCCCTGATCCAAATTTGACTCTATGACTATTTCTCCCTGGCTGCTACCCAGCCTTCTATCTACAAAAAAATCATCTAGCTAACTAGGAGGGTGCAACAGTTGGTACACAGGTAGAGCAAAAGAACTTGCATGAGCAGGCAGCAGAGCCATAGTCAAAATGATCCAGAGTCAGCCACAACTGGGCAGCAAAGATACCAAATCAAAAGGCAAAAGCAAGGTCAGAAGCCAGGCCATAATAACTATCAAATGAGAAGCAGAAGTACTGAAACAGCTCACAGAGGGCAACAGGAAACAAATCCACGGTCAGAAACAGGGGATCTAGACACAGCATAATCAGAAGGCAAGCTAAGTCAAACACAGGATAGCAGGATACTTGTCTGGTCAAAAGTCACAGAAGCTGACAGTCACTCAACAACTTCTCCTCCATGTTCTAGGCTTTAAATAAATTGTTTGGCATCAATGCCACTGAATGTATGTTCACATGAATGTGCATTGCCATAACCTCGTATATTGGGTCATGGGCTGTATTAATACACAGATCTTTGGGCATGACCACGCACTTGATCTTCCTGACAATATCATACATATCATGTTATACCATCAGCTGTTATTGTAGTGTCAGGAATGGCAAAGCATTGGTGATCTATTAAGAGTACTTTCCCACATTGCAAAAGCCTGAAAGGGTGTTTCACGTGCTTTGTTGCTACTGTGCATTTACTATTCACAGAACTGAATTTTAATTGTTTCTCACATTTTCTTTTTTCCACATGACCACCTCTCCATTTTTTACATAGTTTACTCTCTTTTTAATACATCTTTGTGCTAAGCAGATGAAACAAACTTCTGTTACTAACTGAATTTGCATTTATTGCTTTAAAAGCCCTATTCCAGTCTAACAAACAAATGTACAGGTGATTCCGCTCTGCAAAGCTGAAGAATAAAAATGCATATCTCATGTTCAATATACCTATCAATGCACGCACAACCACATTTGTCCAAGGTTAGAAAGCACCATTATAGATATTAAAAACATTTCTGCCCTTTAGGGATAGATGGATTCAACTTAAACTTCTACATAGGGTATATTATTCTCCCCAACGTCTCTCTTTGATATACCCTACGCTAGATCCCACAATTCCTAAATGTAAGAGGTATGTTGGTATCTTTGTACACATGGTCTGGTCTTGTCCTACTATACAATCTTTTTGGAGCGAGGTGGTATCAGACCTGAGTGCCTTAAGTGCATTGGTGGTACCTTAGGACCCATTAATCCTCTTCTTAGGCATCTGTGATATATTAAATACTACCCATTACAAAAGATTGTTTTTGTTTTATGCATTGTATTATGCTAGGAAATCTATTCTTCTTATATAGAAGCCAGATACTCCCCCAACACTGCAACAGTGGCATACTTTGGATAACCAAGTGTTGCCACTATATAAACTCATGTATCTGGGTCGTAACTGCCCCATGAAATTAGAAAAAAATATGGGGGAGCCTGGGTCAAGGTCAGAGACCTAGCGCTATGACCTACTGCTATTACTTTGGTGAATTGCCCTATTCTGATCACCACATGATCACCTTCTCTGCCTCCCCCCCCCTTTCCCCCTTTTGTTCTTCTCTCTTTTCTCTTTCCCTTTCCTTCCCTCCCCTCCTTTATATGTTGTGTCTTGATACCTGCGGATAGCCTGAATATTTTAATATTTTACTATTCTACTCTGAGTTTATGTGCATTGTACATTGATATATCATATGCAGCTTTTTGCACTGATCTGTCCTTTGCTATCAGTACCTGTCTCATTTTGGTATTTTAAACTTGAATGACAATTCCCTTTGTTACTTTTATCCCTAGTTACTTTGGCTGTAATTTTGTTGCCATCCAAGATACTGTTAAAACATTTCTGCCCAGAGTTCAGCTTTTTTATTATTATTATACAGTATTTATGACGCGCCAACAGTTCGCTCAGCGCTGTACATTACAAAGGGAGACAGAACATGCGATAGTACAAAAACAATACAATGTGATACACGAGGGGTTTGAGGGCCCTGCTCTTTCGAGCTTACAATCTAGGAGGGAAGGGATAGTGGTACAGGAGGAGATAGCTGTGGGGAATGGAGTGGTAGGAAGAGTGGAGGAGGTCGGCAATTAGCAGGGGGTGCGGTAGGATTCCCTGAAGAGGTGGGTTTTCAGGGTGTGCCTAAAGGAGAGGAGAGTAGGAGTAGGTCTGATGGATTGGGGTAGGGAGTTCCAGAGGATAGGTGATGTCCTGGAGAAATCCTGGAGGCGGGCATGGGAGCTTTAATAAGCTTTAATAAATAATATCTGTTCCTTCTGGATGTTTTTTATTCTTTTTGTAGAACATTGATACAGAATACGAAGTTGTCTTGTCTACAGTTCATGCACAATGTATGTTCTGCCTAAGTTAAAAAGTGTGAAAGTAAAAAAATAATCTTTGAATACACATGTTGTGGTCAAGTACAAAACAGCTGGGCTAAAATTAGATAAGGCCAGAACATTTTGTACAGAGAAATAAAAGAAATATTACTGGAACTCTTCTACTGAAGACATATTGTTCATTAAATTAACTGTAATAAATTACTGAGAATTGTTCTGAGCATGTAAAGTGTTATGTTTGATAGAAGGATCTACAATAATGCTATCATTACCTGTTTGAACAGGTGTCCAGTTGCAGGCTGTGAGGGCCAGGGACATATATCTGGGAAATACACATCTCATCGAAGTGCTTCTGGTTGCCCCTTGGCTGCAAAAAGGCAGAAGGACAGCTCTCTGAATGGTGCATCACTGACTTGGAAACAGAATAAGCAGGAGCTGCCACATTGTCCACTTCCAGGCTGCAATGGGCTGGGCCATGTCAATAATGTCTTTGTCACTCACCGAAGGTAATTTAATTTTTTTCCATTTTGCAATTTTTATGCTATTGTTTCTACCATAAAAAATATAAGGTAGTCTCCTATTGCAAGTCCTCTATGCTGCCTGTGATTAATTCTGTTCAGCACCATAATAAGAATATCATCATATAAGGTTCCACAGATGGTGCATCTATGGCTGGAGGCAAGTACAGGTGTGTATGTGATGGAAGTCAATCCAAATTTTTTACTATAGTAGGTGTTGGATTTACCACAGCAGTAACAAAGGTAACTCTTGATCATTAGTTTAATAAAAATGTATAGTGCCCAAAAACATGTTAGAGCCCCTGGTATGAAAAGCATTTATCAATCAGCTATAATTTGTATTTCATATTCATATTCATATTACACAATTTATAGTGTAAGCACAAAACATTTTGCTTTTTTGTCTGGTTCAATCCATAAGCATTTGGGTTAATGTTATATGGGTGTTTGAGATGTGATTTTCATGCTTAATATACACTCACATTGGCTTGCATGAAGAAATAGAAGCAAAGCACAAGCTGATCTCAAAAGACTCTAAACCTGATTTAAACTTAAGAAACAAAAATGTCATAACTGCTTCTCCCTGCCTGTCAGCGTTTGAGTATGCTGTGTTACGCATGTAGTAACAACTACCAGGGAAGCACACCAGATCAGACTCTAACTCAATAATGCTTATAGCACTCCAGAAGTAGAATTACCATAGGGTGATTATTGCCCAAAAGAAGAAACAGAAGGTTTAAAGTGGTTGTAAAGACTGAAGGTTTTTTACCTTCATGCATTCATATCTTCAATGTGCTGCTCCCCCCCCCCCCCCCCCCCAATAACCACTTGAGCCCCCTGTCGATCCAGCGATGTACACGGGAGCCTCAGCTGTCCCGGGTCTCTATCTGCTCATTGGCTGAGACATAGCAGCAGGAGCCATTGGCTCCCACTGCTGTCAATCACAGTCAGTGAGCCAATGAGAAAAGATTAAGGGACATGGCTGAGCCCCTGCTCTTTGTGTCTTATGGACACATAAGCAGGGCTTGGGAGTGAGTATGCACCAGTGCCCCCATAGCAAGTGCCCCCATAGCAAGCGCCTTGCTATTGGGGGTACGGGCCAAGGGGGAGAAGCCAGGCATGCTGGAGGGGGACCTGAAAAGAAGAGGATCAGGGCTGCTCAGTGAAAAACCATTGCACAGATCAGGTAAGTATGATATGTTTGTTATTTTTATTTTCAGAAAATTAACCTTTAATATCACTAGAATGAGAGGGAGAGAATTATTTACACCCCATTTCAGTGCTTGTGCCAGCTCCTGATGACCCTCTCAACCAGATGAGGCTGGTAGCCAAACCAATTAAATATAAACTCCTCTTGATCTCTTAATTATTTTGCAGCCTTAAAAGAGAAGTTCAGGATTAAAAAAAAGAAACATTTATACTCAGGTGGCTGCAGCATCTATCTAATGCTGTATCTGTCTCCAGCTGCCTACACTAAGAACTGAGCTATAAAAGACCACTGATTGCTTAGTTCTTGGTCTTCAGTGACTCTGCTATGCCCCTCCAGCACTCACTGGAGAACCAGGCAGGAGAGGGGGTGGGAGTGGTTAGCTCAGCCTCTCAGTGGCTCAATGAGAGGCTGAGCCAGTTGCTGGTCCCGACATTAAAGTTGGGATCTCTTCAGACCCTGGACCAGCTGAGTGATGTCAGCCAACAGAGGGCTTTAGCCCACTGTCAGCTGAATACGGGTAACAGGAGTGCAGAACAAAATGCACTCCTGTGATCCCCAGGAGAAGAAGGACCAAAAGAGCTTTGATCCTACTTCTCCTTTAAGTGACCATCTCCTCATCAGAAGCAATCAGTTTGTAACCTGCCCTGATTACTATTCTTCTTCTCTATGGTAAGTAAAAGGGGCAGCACTTAACAGAGCAAACTTGCTTACAGGTTTCCATGGGCAAAATAAATGTTGCTGCACCCAATGTAACCCATATAGTTTTGCCACTGTTGTTCATTTCCAAATCACTGCATTTTTAAAAACAATTTAGGAAATTTGATAAGCTAACACTAAATATTTTCTCTTGCATGATTTACAGTTTATCTGGATGCCCGTTAAATGCACAAGCTATAAAAAAGGGAAAAACATCAGAGGAACTAATGAGTGTAAAGCTGAAGACAAGCGGAGGTAAGGTGCTGTTTATCAATGTTTATGAAAGGCTGCCGCAACTAATCTAAATACACCCTTGTCTTTGATACGCATAAATGTTTCATTCAAACATGAAAGCAAAATAAATGCATTTCTCCAAGTGAATATGATTTCTGACATTTGCGTGGCTTTTTGTAATATATCATGAGTCCACTTCAATGCTTTGCCTAGGGCTCTAAAAGGATTTTCAAAGGTAACTGGTATAACCCGTACAAGAAATATCAAATCCTGTATTTCACAGTTTTCCACATGTTCATGTTTTCAAAGTTACTTCCACTCATTGAAATCCTTAACAGAGTGCTGATTTTTATAAGCCTCGGAGTCCAGGGGCATAATGATCAATAGACTCTCCAAAAATAATTAAATGCGATCGCTTGCCTAAAAAAGCTGTACTAATAATATTCAGCAATTAGACTGTTTGGTGTATTAATTAAGATCTTTGCATAGCTACTGAAAATCTAACTAGAAGTAAACAAATGTGTTTGGGAGGGGAAAAGCAAACAGCCTTCACTTAAAAATTGCAAAATACTCAATATATATTTTAATTCAACAGTCAGCATTTAAAGGAGCACTCCTCTAAACTGTTGATACCTTTATAAACAAAATAAATAGGGAATCTTTCCTAAGAGAAATACATGAGCTGACATTTCTGACTCCATTCTGAAGGTGACAATTCACTACTTAGGCCCTTCAAAAAAAAAAGCAGCAGATATGCACTTACTGTGGCCATACTGCTACTTACAAATACAAATGTGTATTACATGCTCCTTGCTGCAGGGTTCCAAGTTGGGGTGCCACTCATTCTAAAGAATGAATGAAAAAGAAATAGCAAAAAGTCAAAGAGCTTGATCAATTAGAAGAACTTAATTTATTGTCTCTTGAGAAGAGGAGATTAAGGGGGGATATGATCAACATGTATAAATACATACAGTAAGTGGTCCATATAGTGAACTCGGTGTAGAGTTATTTACCTTAAGGTCATCACAGAGGACAAGGGGGCACTCTTTACGTCTGGAGGGAAAGAGATTTAATCTCCAAATATGGAAATGTTTCTTCGCAGTGAGAGCTGTGAAAATGTGGAATAGACTGCCTCAAGAGTTGGTTCTGGACAGCTCAGTAGATTGCTTTAAAAAAGGCCTGGATTCTTTCCTAGATACACAGAATATAACTGATACTAGCATTTATAGGTAAAGTTGATCCAGGGAATATCTGATTTCCTCTGGGAGATCAGGAAGGATTTTTTTTCCCCTGCAGGAGCAAATTGCATCATGCTTTGCTGGGCTTTTTAGCCTTCCTCTGGATCAACTGTGAGTATAGGATAAAAAAAAATAAAATAAAATAAAAATTCCCCTTTTATGGTTGAACTAGATGGACTTGTGTCTTTTTTCAGGTAAACTAACTATGCAACTATGTAACTATGTGACGTGTCAAATTCAGGTGGCTGGCCTCTCTTCCACTTATGAAGTTATTTCTGCATTATAATGCAGACAGAACTCCAAAGTACTCCTTGAAGTAAATGCTGTGGTGTCCAACTAAAAGCAAATAGCAGCATCTACTCTCCGATATAAATAAGACCCATGAGTCTTAGGGAGTCCTAACTGCATTAGATGCATGCTTGTTCTGATTCTTGCCTCACACAGTAATAAAACTGGAACATCAGCAGGACAGCAAGATAATGAACATTTTGAGGGGTTGTGAAAAGCAGGAGAATTATTTCATTCATGGTGTTTCTCCTTTAAAATGCTCCTTCTCCCCATATCCCCTTTCAGCAGATCTTTAAAATTCATCAGTTTCTGTTAGTGATCCAGTAAGCTAAGCAAATAATTTCTTATAGATTTGACTGCGGTGAATCAGCATGGATCCTTCACAGAGGCTAAGCTCATCAACAAGGATATTTAGAGAGTTACTGATTTAAGATTTGTTTTATCTAGTTAATCTCCAGAATAACTTTTAGTATATTTTGATTCTGAAAGAAATCTAAGCTCACAGTGTCTTGTACACTCAGATACAAAATTCACCCTGCTCCATCCATTATAAACCGTCATCCTCTGTATTTGTGCACAGGTCTATTCAAGGCTCCTGGCTTTATGGAGCTTCTTGATGTAGTTTCAGAAATCGAATACAGACAAAAAAAAATTACTTTCTGCTAATTATTGGACAAAGCCAGCATGCTTTTAAAAAGTAAAACTGAGTTTTACATTATTTTTATCTGCTATACAATTTTGTAACCTAGCTTCACTTAGGATAAAATATTAAGTACAACACAAAGAAATACTGTAAATGCTTCAAGGATCAGTCCATATATTGGTGATTATTCAGTTATAAGTAGGATCTGCTGGCTCAAGTTAACCACTGACTTCCTATATAACCTGGGGACTTTGGTGACAAGTTCTCCTTATTATAGTTGCTAGCTCTTTCCCCACCCATATTTGACCTTTTTGTATTTCACCCCTATACTTGCTTTTTCTATAATATAAAACAAAATTTAAAACAGTTCAACATAGGAAGTGGAAGCCCTTTGGAAAACCTAAAAAAAAAGTTGTATAGGCCTTGGAGCTCAATCTCAGAGGCATAGAAAAAACACCCTCTGGCATGAATCAAAAATTGAAAAAATTGATCACCCTTTTAATTCACTAATGCAGAGCTGGAAAAAAAACTATTTTATTGCTCCCCAGTGGCATGGACATATGGTTATGACATGACGGGGTTTGGACATGGCAGATCAGCAGCAGTGCTTTCTACATTTTCATTCATGGACTATGACAGTTATGAGAGAAGTATGACAAACAAAATATGGCAACAAAAAATAAAAATAAAGAGAATATAAAAACAATTCACAAGGAAAAATCAATTAAAACTACAGGAATTTAAATGAAAATATAAATAATACTATGCATGCATGACATCAACATTAGCATGGCATTTTGATGTTTTGAATCAAGGTTACATGTGAATTGCTGTGTAAAATGTATCGATCACAATGTGTCTATAGCTATACAACTTACTCCCATTTATCCCATTACACTGGCTTGGTTGAGTTTATTTTTCACACCTTGAATAGAACATATCATCTTAGACATATAGATCTGGCATCTGTAGGTGTCAGTAAATATTATTTCCGGAGAGATCTAGGAAGGTGAAAATTGAAACCAAAGTTGATATGATCTTCCTCTGGCCCACCCCTCCTACCCTCTGCATCTGCTGGTCAGTCTGGATGCCTATCATACATACTTAGTAGCTAATAGATACACAAGGAGGGCAGTAAGTTTCCACTATTTGTTGAGACCCCATTAGTAAATTACTATAGTTGTCAGCTTTCATCTAAATACAATAGGGAAAAATGAATTCCAACAATGTATGGGGTACACTCATCCATAATGGTTACCATATTCATTTTAGTTTATTTACTTTAAAAAGGTATACAGCAGTGGACAAGAGGCATTTCCTAAAACCCCATAGTCTTTCCCGAAAACCCCAGTCTACCTGAGGCCATTGTAACCTCCACATGCCATAGCAGCAGACATTAGCACAGCACAAAAAATCTGGCTAGAACCTATAGTCTAACCTATAAGTATTGTAAAAAAATTAATAATCTGCTTTAAAAAGGAGTATATAAAGTTAGGTCAAATGTAAAATCAGATGTTACATTGAGACATTCTAACTAGCAAAGTTGCATTGATTGTTAGATGGTATTAGCAGTTTAGTGAATTGTTTTACTTACTGCCTTGAGCTCCTAATCAAAGTATATTTGCACTTTTAAAAAAGGTTAAATTATATACTGTATAACATACATTAGACACCATGAATTGAAGGTACAATAACCCTCTTCTATGTGCCACTTATGCCCCCAAAAGTTCCTATGTAAATACCAACAGTCTGGAACTCAGTAGTTACATAATTTTAGGAACACCTCCACAGGAAAGTGCTTGGTCCTAAAGATAAGTCCTTAGGAAGCTTTCAAACTCTAAAAAGGATTAAAGTAACATGGATGGTAAGGTGAGAAGCTTTATAGTGAGTACATGCCAAACAGCTTAACTTTAAAAGGTTACTTTAACTTGCTGAACTGGTTAATTTCTCATGACACCATTAAGTGACCAAAAATCACAATTACTGCCTACAACTGATTAATATTAAATTGGTTATAAATGGTGAAGGTTTTTTACCTTCATGCATTTTATGCATGAAGGTAAAAACCTTCAGTGTGCAGCACCCCCATAGCCCCCTTAATACCTACTTGAACCCGATCTTGATCCAGTGATGTGCACAGTGAAAACCTTCAGTGTGCAGTACCCCCGCAACCCCCTTAATACTTACCTGAACCCAATCCTGATCCAGCAATATGCACAAGAGCAGTGGCTCTCCTGGGTCTGTCTCTCCTCATTGGCTAAGACACAGAAGTGGGAGCCATTGAGGAAGGAGTGGGAGGGGGGGGACTGAGCCATGCTCTCTGTGTCCCATAAACACACAGAGCCGACTTGGGACCGAGCAAGCACGAGTTCCCCCCAGAGCAAGCAGCTTGCTCTTTGGTCACTTGACAAGGGCGGGGGACCCAAGAAGAAAATCAGGAATGTCCTGTATAAAACCATTGCATAGAGCAGGTAAGTATGATGTGTTTATGATTTCAAGAAAAATTTTAATCTTTAGAACCACTTTAGACATCGGATTGGGCATGTCTGCAGGAATGACATGTTAGGTATCTCTTTACTCAGCATAACATCATCTTTATATTTTACCAAAAATTGGGTTAGATGTTGTGTTGTTTTTCATTAAATTTCATTAAAGTGTATTATTTTTTTAAATGTGCATTCGAAAAATTGCTCAATAAAAACCATGTGACAGAAAAAATTGCAACACCCACCATTTTATTCTCTAGGGCCTCTGCAAAAAAAAAAAAATAAAATATATATATATATATATATATATATATATATATCATGTTTGGTAAATCAAGCCCATGGCTAGCTTTATTATGATTTAGT